TTTTTCCTTCGTGAAACTGTGATATGTTCTCCACAAATGTAGCAGAAACTGTTTGGGTGATTTTTTGCACTTTCAGGCTTTACTTGAACTGGATGAAACCAGCATTTCAAATGATTTTCTACAAAATGCGAAATAATTTATGTTTACAGAACTGGAGTTTAAAAGATTTAAAAAACAACAACAAAGTTTTGTAGAATTTGATTATATCGCGGGTGTGAGGCGAGGAAAAAGAGCGGGCTTTGTTTTGACTGTACGCAAAGCGAGGCGAAGTGACCAACTGAGTGAGTGAGAGGTAACTGAGAGAGAGAGGTCTGACTCCGCCCCTTTTATGCTAAGTCGAGGGACTTCTCGAATGTTCTAGCAAACGGAGTACGTGATTCCCGTGTGGAGCATGTGAGTGTGGGAATGGAGTAAAAATGGTGCAATTCGCGACAATTATATCGAGAATAAAGAGCACATAAAAATATGTTTGGAATTTTACACCAATACAGTCAGTGTTCGAAGTTATTAAAAATATGTCTTTTGCCCATTAAACTGTCCAGGTAAATTTAATTTCACAGTATAAATATAGGGTACTGAGTTGATTGCATGGTATTTCATATAGTGCAGATAAAATATTGAGGTATTACAATACCTCAAAATCTGGAGGCGATAGGGAAATTCTGACTACATTTTTGAAAGCAGCACCATCAAATTACCCCAAATCGCTTGAGTTTTCTCCAATAGCAAATTTTTTGTTGTCCAGTGTAATCGTCTATGCTTGTGCATGAGGAAGTACAATAAGCTGATCAGTTAGAATACTCTACAGGGTATGTATACGGGACATTTAGAAGTATGTTTATACTCATTAGAAGAAGGTATTCAACGATTGCTTGTTAAATGTGATAAGAAAGGTTATAATTTTCTGTTACTTTGAAACAGGAATTTTCCTTTCAGTGATACTGCAGTGAAAGCTTTCATCGTGGTTTGTCAGTATACGGAAATATAAGTGGACAGCGTGACCAGAACAAAAAATAGGACTTTGTTGAACTACACTTCCACTTTAAAACAAGAGGGAATGTTCAATAGCCGCTGCTGTATTTAGATCTCTAGTCGGTCCAGAGATGGAGCTATGAGCTAAAAGTTTGTACTTGAAAAAAACAAAAACAAAAAAACAGCTCAGAGTCGCGGCAAAAAAAAAAACAATGTGTGGTGTTCGAAGTTAAAATATTGAACATTGTGATCTAGTGGCACAAGTTAATGAACAACTGTAACCTACCTGAACTGTTTCTAGAAAGGTCTATGTTTGTTATATTTTAGTATAAATTACTTATTCATTCTGCTTTATTATTATTATTATTGCATATGCCATATTTCAAAAGAAAAACTAAGCTACTTTTTATTCCTTTAGAAAGTGAA